ATTTTTTATTAAAAAACTAACTAAATAAAATGATTTGGCGAACAAAAAGTTCAGCCGTAAAGAATCTATGGAATCTATGGCAAATATCTATTTTGAGCGACTAGACAGTTCTCATTATAGACAGGAAATTAAAGTTATTGGAAATGGCTGGGAATAGCGTGTCGAGCAACAAGTTGGCCCATGAAAGTTTGCTCCGGCAGATAGATGTCGAGCGTGCGCTAGGTCGGTTAGTTTTAGAACGGCCCTCGCACAGTGCATTCAATTAATTAGCTTACCCCAGCGATTGCCCAGCAGAGTGGGACAGGCGGCGTGGAGTGTTCGGTGGTCGCACTCAACCTCATGGTTCATATTATGCCAGATCAGGGCCGAGCCCTTGATTGGCTGCACGCCCAGGCCCAAAGCGGGAAAGGATGTAATGCCGCCCAGCTGCACTTCGTTCAGCTACAAAGGACGAGCAGGACGCCGAGCAGAGGAGGAGAAGAAAAACAGAAGTGAGGAAGCAACTGGCGCGCAATATGCGATTTAAGCCCTCTACTTACGTACAGCAAAATGGTAGCAATGCGATTACTGCTGATGTAAGCCTCATAGGCTGCCTGCCAAAAAAGAGTATTTACATACATAAATCCGAGCCATTCAGCAGCGGCTGTCTGTGTGCCCAGCACTGGAGCTCCGACAAGTCGGGCTTGCCTAACAGATTTCTTGGCCAAAACTTGCATTAAAAACTTCAAAGATTTCGCTCAACAAAAAGTGAAAGCAAATCCCTTTGTAAAGCAGAAAGGCATAAAGGAATGGGTGATTCGCAAGTAAACTTGAACTACTGTAACTAATTGAAGTTAAATTGGAAATGGTATAAAACAATTAATGGATTTTAGAGTTTTGGAGTAATCAATCAGTCATATAGATATTCTGTTCATCAGTCATCATCAGTCAATCTCTACTAATCAGTCTTAAAGCTGTTCCGAAGACTTATTTAGTCAATCAGTCACTTAATCTTTTTGTTAGTCAATCACTCATTCAGTCATTCAATCTGCGTCGATCAATCAGTTGATCCATTACTAAATCCAATTACTCAAGTACTCTATAATGCAGTCAAT